AGGTTCTCTGAGGAACCTGGAGAGAAAGAGCAGTTCACAAGCTCTGTCAGTCTTGTACAGACATCACACACATTCAATTCCAATGTCAATCTAAGAAATGCAGTCTTCAACATCCACGGAGAAACAAACAGGTTAGGAAAGTTACTGAGTATGTCCAGGCTATGAAGCTGGAAAATGGCCATGTGGGATAAGGGTGCCCCTTCAATACTGAGAGCACCTGGCCATTTCTTACCCCCAATCATCACTGCTGTCGTTCTACCCCTGGATGCTAACCCCTGCAGGCAGGGTTGCCATGGCTGCCTTGCTTTCTTCCTTCCCACTCTGAGCTCTACTTTCTTATCCTTCAGGGTTGTGCTTACCTTAGGTGGAGCCTCATTATCAGGCCGGACCCAGGATGGGGGGTTTGGGCTAGGACCAGGCCCTTCAGAGGTGGGGTCTGAATTCTGGCGGATGACAGCTCCTCGGGCACTGGGCGTGGCAGTGGGTGTGGGGACAGCAGCAGGGTCAGGGTCATGGGAAGCAGGGAAGGCAGCCAGGTTTCGAGTGGGCTGGTCCTGCAGGGACTGGGATCGGGGTACGGGTGCTGCATATGGATTCAGTGGGACCCGGTGTGCCACCAGGCTCTGCAGAGAGAGACCAGGAAGGGTGGGCTGCCTGCTTTGTGGCACATCCTGCAAACTAGGGTCTGGGCTAAGCAAAGTCCCTTTTCCCCTCAGAAGACAAGGCGTTTCTAACACTGGAGAAGAGGATTAGACACACACAGCTGCAATGTCCACAGGGCTGTGCCCCATGGTGTGCAGAAGACACCAGTGAATGCACACACGAGCCATGCAGGCAGCTCTGTAACTGGCTCTAAGCAAAGCCATGGTGTTAGGACAGGAACGGGAACAGACTCACCTTGTGCGGTCCTTCCTGAGGCTCCACAGGCCTCTGCATAGGAGGAGTTTGGGAAAGAGGTCCTGGGGGGCTAGGAGAGGCCTGGGAGATGGGGGTCTCTGGCCCCGTACTGCTTGGCTTCGTCTTGGCCAAGGGAGAGTTCTGCTGCTTATTCATCCTTGCTCTCTCTTCCACCTGTGATGTGAGAGGGTCATTAGCAGGCCAGTGTCTGCTTCCCAAGTCTCAACATTCAGATCCTCACTTGCTCCAACCACTCCGGCACAACCTCTGCTCCTTTGCCCTTCTCCATGCGCATTATTGTGCAGCAGCCACTTCTCATAACCTTCCAGCCCTGGGGCAGTGAGACTGGTAGGATGGGGTCTTAGGGGACAAAGCAGGCAGTGAGTACCTCTCGGGCCCACGCTGGCTTGTCAGCAGGATTGATGCCCCGACCATAATGATATAGGGGTTTCCTGTCCCCAGGCAGGATCTGCTGCTGCTGCTTTTGGAGCTGCTGCTGCTGCTGCTGCTGCTGCCGCAGAGGGAGGA